CTGCATTGTTTGAGCCCAACTGCAAAGCTCATACTCTGCACTTTCTCCTCTCCTCTCTTCTCCCCTCTTCTCCTCTCCTCTCCCCTTCTCTTCTTTTTCCTCCTCCTCCAAACCAGGACTCAAAACTTCTTAACTGAGTTTCTCTTTGGAAGAAACCTTTCCAACTCCCACCGCATTTCCCTCCATCCTCAACAACCAAGTGGCATAGGAAGCAACCGAGAAAGAAGGAGAGGGGATTAATAACCTCTGCTGAATTCCTGGAATAAGCTTCAGGACCTTAACTAATTTCCAGTTAGACCCAAGGAAGTAAATGGAGCGGGAGGCCAGGACGGGGGTGGGTGGGAAGAGAGAGGGTAGATAGGACAGAGACCAAGTCTAGATCCCCACAGTCTGACACCCAGCCAAAGCCTTCTCCACAGGGAAGGCGAGCTAGAGAAAAATAACCAGCGCTTCCAGCCTCCCACCACTCGGTAGAAAAGGTGCGGGTGAAATCTTTCCATTCCTGGGGGGGGGGGGGAAAGCCACCACCGCCACCGTCACCACAGCTCGACGCCCCCATGTGAGAAGCAGGGAAGAACTGGAGGGGAAGCAGAGGCGCAAGGAGGGGAGAGAGAGAGAGAGAGAGAAAACAACGCACTTACGCGTCTCGCCAGGGATCCATTTGGGAAGATCTACCTTCCCAAACCGCCGCCCAAGACGCCGTAATCGCACTAACTGCCTTGGTCCCTCTGTCCCGGCGTTAAACAGCTCTAGCAGCTGCGTTGGTAGACAGTTAAGATTATATATGATGTAAATATATTGTGGGTATGTCAGCTCCCCCAAACCATAAAACTTAGTTTAATGACATCACGTGCTCCGCGAGAGCCACTCAGGGCTTTTGCTTTGGGCAATCCACATAAATAACCTTCAAAAGTTTTAAACTGCTAAATTCAGTTCAGAAGCCAGGGGTATTTCTGCTAATGTTCTCAGGGAAAGTAAAAGCTTTGCCTGGAAAAAAAGAACCCCGGATTATGATTGTCCTTGTTATTCTCGCCTCTTCCTACTCCCCCACCCCCACCCCAAAGCTCACCCGCACACAGGCACAGATTTGGAACTTGGTGTCTGTCATTCCCCCCCCCCCCAGTCCCTTTCTTGTTTGGAGGCTTTTTTTTAAAAGTTCCCACTGTGTTGACATGGATGGCTATGAAAGGTAAGCGATGTTTCATTTCCTTCTCGGCTTTTCAAGAATTCTTTAGGCAAAGGGGCTGAGTGAAAAGCGGGCAGAAATTGACGGGGGGGGGGGGAAGGTCTTGCACAGCAAAAGTCAACGACAAGCCCAAAACCACCAAAATATTAATCAGTCCTGAAAAATTACTTTTTAAAAAGACAGGAAAGTGGCCAAAATAGACCCACGTTGTTCGCTGGATAAACGAATAATTAATCATAAGGCAGTGTATCTGCGGCTGGTTCGCCTTTACGGTAATGGAAAAGTTGGGAGCTGGTGCGCTGTGGGCTTACAAATTCTCCCTCTTCCTCCCCACCGCCCTCCTTACGATAAAACAAAAGTACATCTGATTTTGTTAACCCTCACTTGTCAAGTTCAGTTATTCCTTGGCACATTTCCGACCAAATGAAAAGGAGGTGCCTTGGTTTGTGGAGTTGGGGGGGGGAGGGAATTCAAGACAAACCAGAATAATGAGACAGATGTAAAACAGCAAATCTTGGCTTTAGGTTAGAGAACAGTTATCCAAACATGTCTACAGTTCTCCAATTGCCTTAATAAACACCCCTTAGATTTACATAGCAGAGTTTATGCTTTTCAAACAACTACACTCTTTCTCCTACCCCTCCCCCCCTTTGTAGGCATGTATTATTTTTTTTAAACTGCTCCTGTTTGAAAATCTTATATCCTTTACAAGGCCATCTAGCATCACAAAGGAAAGAAATTGGGGGGGGGGGACCCAAAAAAACTTTGATCTATGTTTGCAACATTTGACTGTTAGTGGCAGAAAACCCAAATAAAATCAAGCTACCAGTAGTGTAAAAGCCAGAAAGGAGTAAGGAGGAAAAGATTTTTCAGGTAGACAGAACATTGCAAATAAAACAATTGCCATTGATTGCCTTAGTCACCTTATTATTTTATATTGTCGATAATAAAGACAATGCTAAAAATACCAATGAACTTAAAAGAAAAGAACAGACATTTTGAGGTCAGAGACAGAAAGCTCTTGAGTTTTAGGAGTATCTTCAAAAGCTCTCACCATCCTGAAAAAGTAACTTTTGCTTCAGGGTTCAGGAAATTGCTCCATTGTTCAAGATGGTGTAGAGGAAACAGTACAAAGGTTTACTGTGCTATTGAGATCATTCCCACGAATCCCCAAGCAGGCATTTCTACTGTAAATAGCCCCAAAGACACGGCAGGCATGAGTGCTAGTTTGGATGGACTTGTAAGTGTCCTAGAAAGAATTTGACAATTGCATTCCCCAGACTCACATTGATACATGCAATTCAATAAAACACATATATGGATCTACATAGACACACATGAAACATCTATGCACAGGGTCCTGCCTCCCACATTTCCAGAGGCCTGCATCTGTCCTAGTCAAATCAAACTTCCACCTAACTGGGTCCAGTAATACAACCAATAGGCAAACCAAATAAACAAACCAAAAATATAGATGCATGTGAACGCATATACGTATGCAAGTTTTCAACATTCCGGTTACCTTTTATCTTAAACTTAGCACATAGAAATGTTCCCTTAGTTCTTTGCCTTTTAGCCCATGTTACTTGAGAGTAAAGTGAAAAATCTGCCATTCTTATTTCAACCCATTTTAATAATCACAGGCACCCAGAAAGTTGGATATTGTCATCAATAGCCCAGTTCCTTTCGGCACAGGATTCACTATAAGTCCATGGGAAGTTAATTATGGGACAGGGGGAAAGAGGGAACTTTCCTTCCAGCTGGTTTGGAGAGAGGGAAAAAGTAGATGGTCAAATTCTTTAGAAATGTGGTCTTGTTTGGAGTGTTCTTATAAGGTACAATGGAAAGAAATCTCTGAGAAAGGATCCGGACAAGTTTTTAAGACACCAAAGCTATGCTGTGTAAATTGGAAAAGTTAAAAGTTGCCAGGCTATCCAAGAAAAGAGCAAACATTTCATAGAGGAAAGAGAGTGAATAGATCATCTGCAATTTAATTTATCTTACCCCAAATTATTCTGCTGCAATAATAATAATAATAATAATAATTGTAGGGGCTAGAAGTAGATAAGAGCCCATTTTGAACCAATATAAATTGGGTCTTAAACTGATTTCTATTGCAAACCCTACAGAGCTGACTTTCCATTTTTTGCTCTTAGGACAGAGGTCTAAAGTTCCGCTGATCTGAGCAGGCCTTTAAATCTAAAATTTAGGGACCCAATTAATTGAAACTGGAGTGTTCTGGATTATCCTAGATGTCAATGAAAGCAACTGAAGCTTAACCCTTCCACAGAAAATTGTTTGGTATGCTCAAATGAATGCACCCTACCTCAGATTTGGTGTACTTTGTTGCCACAACAAAAATACTTTTTTTTTTTAAATCAAATTAAGGAACTAGGAAAATGTTACTGGGTGCTGGGCAGTACTCAAGAAAAAATGTTTCATAATTTCCTTCATCTCCACCCACTCCAAACTTGGCCTTAGTTGTTGAAGTATTCTTAACAGTTTATTTTGGTGAACTGACGCATATATGAATATTCATATATTCATTCATTCAATTCATTCATTCCACGGGCTTTCACATATGATATTACAGTCAATAAATACACTATAGGTATTACAACAGCAGGGAGAAGGAAGGGGGGGGGAAAGAGACTACAATGGACTATATGTAAACAAAGTGTAATTTGTATAAGGATTGTATAATATAATATATGTACATACTACATTAATTACACAACAAATAAATACAGGGGAATATTTAAGCCAAGTGAATTCACACTCTTTCCCACTGGTCTCCCCCATTCCATTCCTCCACAGGGCTTTACTATTTTGCACAAGTATCTCCCAGGAGAGGCGCGGAAACCGTGTTGCTCTCAGTCCGTTTCACTTTCTTTCATAGGCCAATAATACAAAAATAAGTAAATGGGGGAGGGAATAGGAGAATCACAGAAAATACCCCCAGCACGGAACAACGCATCCTGGTAGCAAACAGATTTCCCAGCTTGTTTGTTTTTTTTCCGGGTTAAGAGCATCTAGGAAAACGACTCCACGGGGCAATTTTCATTCCACGCACGCGAGACCGGTCAATATTGTCTCGAGACCAGACTAGCTCGCGCTTGGCCCGATCCTAAGGAGGAAAACTTTACTCGGGGAGGCGGCGCCCCTCGGGCCAGCGGTAGGATTGGAGCCGCGGAAGAAGAAGAAGAAGAAGTGCTCTCGGATCGCGTGGGCGCTTCAGGCGCAAATCCTGACTTGGGCGCAAAGGATTAGTAGGCGTTCATTTCAACAGACCTGAACTTTGCAAGTCTTGCGCGAGTAGGAAGCCGAGGCCGTAGGATTTTTTCGGGAAAATTGGGAAAAGAAAAAAAAAGAAAAAGTAGCGACGGTCGCACTCACCCCTCTTATGCATAACTTGAGCTTCCCGTTTATTTTCCTAAAGAAAGGGTTGTGTCCTGGCTAGGTTAGCGTTTAGGGAAAAGTCGTCCCTAGAGACGAGGGCGAACTTCCCAGATCAGCGGGACCCAGGTTAGAGAGAGCCAAGAGGCCGGTGGCAACCCCAGAAGGCTTAAACCCTGGAATTCTGTTGGAAGCTAAAGACTCGGCCTGTTTGCATACTAATCAGAGGGGCGCCTTTGTCTGCCAGATTTGCAAGGGTATGTAGTCTGTCCCAGGCTGCTGCCCTCCCTCCCCCCCCTTCCTTTCTTCCTTCCTTCCCACCTCCCAAAGAAAAGTTTTCTCAAGGTACAACAACAACAAGGGCTCTCGCCATCCAGACGAGCTGACTTCCCCGCCCCGCCCCACCCCGACCTTCTACCTAGACAGACTCCTTGCTTTTCAGTTTGGAGTCTTTCTTCCATTTCATCCTCCGATTTTGAAACCAGATTTTGATCTGCCTCTCATTCAAACACAAGTTGTTGGCGATCTCTATGCGCCTCCGACGGGTGAGATAGCGGTTAAAGTGGAATTCTTTTTCTAGCTCCAGAGTTTGGTAGCGAGTGTAGCTGGTCCTAGAGCGTTTGCCATCTGCTTCTGGAAAAGAACAGACACCGGATAAGGACGAGGGGGGAAAAGAGTCACGTTAAGCGGGGCAGCAATGCCAAGGAAGGGAGAAACCCAAATGTGCTAAAGAAAGCGAGAGGAAAAGGGGGGGGAGAAAGGAGGAGGCTTGGTTGACTTCTCCCCGGAACATTTTATATATATATATATATATATTTACTGGTAAACGAGGGTGCCGATTGTTCCTATTTTATCCAAGCTTTGGATTCCATCTCAAGCGAGTCAGGCAGGAGGGTGCCCGCCATTTAAAACACGAGAAAGTGGAGCTAAAGTGTGGGAATTAAATCCAGCGATGTCTTTCCTTCGAGAGAAGAGAAAGTCGTGGCTTATGGGATGTGCAAAAGGTTCTTGGAGGGGGGGTGTGGGATTGGGGGGGGGGACACTCTAAATAACCATAAGCTCATTTTCTTCCCCAGAAAAAAAAAAAGTGCGCTCGAATTCAAGTTATTTCTTCCCCTTAAAATCTTCCTTCCTTCCTACTTCCTTTTCGCCGCCCCCCCCCCCCGCTGGAATATTGCCTTTATACCCGTTTTGTTTCTATGATCCAATTATGCCGTCATAAATTTGGGCGTATATAGCCTCTAAGCCTTTTAGTGGACAGTTTTACGAGCAATTGATGCCTTAGTCGTAAAATTTACGACCCCGGTTTTTTTCCCCCTTGTTATTTGCCCCGTATGGCCTATAAAACCGAGGCAAACCCTGTGAAACAAAATCGAGAAGCGAAAGTTTACCGTGGCTCATGTGTAGTTTGGTCATCCACGGATAGATTTGTGGTGGCTGCTGCGGTGACTGCTGAACAGGCTGGCCGCTGGGCTGGGCTGCTTGCACCGGTTCACTCTTGATTTCCCCACTGGTTTTAGATCTATCTTCCAACGGCGTGGGGTTGTTGGTGCCACCAGCCTTCTGACTGTAAATTCCTGGGTTTAGAGAAGCCTGGTCGTCTCTGCCTAAAGTGTGCCCTGAAGATCCCATGACAGTACAGGAAGGCCGGTCGGGGTTAGATCTGGGGGTTGAAGACACGT